AAAAAAAAAGCTTTCGTTCGTGAATCAGGAACTTACTGAAGCCAAGTCTTTATGGAATCTCTCTCTTATGGGATACTCCCTGGGTCCTCGTCCCTATTACGAACGTCTTCTAGCGTCTATGGAAAAAGCTTGGAAGCTAAAGGGGTCTCTTTCTTTGCTTTCCTTAGCTGATGATTTCTTCCTCATGAAGTTTACTACGGTTGAGGATTACGATATGGTCTGGTCCGGTGGTCCCTGGTTTCTCCTTGGCAGGCCCTTCATCCTACAGCGGTGGAATCCAAAATTTCAGCCTAAGAGGGATGAAGCTACCTCCATTCCTCTGTGGATAAAAATCATTAATCTGTCCCTTGCCCTCTGGACTCCTGCGGGTATTTCTAAAATAGCTAGTTTTATTAGAATACCGCTCTATGCGGATGCTCTTACTACTAAGAGAACTAGGCTTACTTTTTCTCGTCTCTGTTCAAGTGGACAAAAATTCAATTTTAGCGGAAGAAATTCCTATGGAAATTGACGGAGAAGACATTACCCTTAAGGTCGTCTATGACTGGAAGCCTATTAGGTGTGAAGGGCGTGAATCTCTCATCCATCCTTTGCTCTCTGTCCCAAGAATCCTGCTCCCAAGCCTACTCTTCCGCCCAAACCAGCTTACCGTGGCAGGAGCAAAAGCAGGAAACCTGCTGCCAAGAATGCCACACCACATTCTCATGTCACGGAGAAGGTTCCTCAAACTACCAAACCACCTGAACCTTCACTTCCTGCTACTGCCGATGGTCCTTCCTCAGATCTCCAGAGAATTCAGCTTCCTGCTGTCACCTCTCCTCCTCGTCATCAGCCCATTTCTACTACAATCACCCAGTCTGATAACTTCCATGTTAAGAATTCTTCCCTTCCAAATCTTAACCTTCCTCAGGTTGATTCCTCTTCAACCAGTTTTCCTCTACCTCCTAAAATGTTGATGCCTCCTCTAGTTTTTCTTGCGAATAGTTTTGATTCACTTCCCGTGGAGAGGAGGAACTCTCTTCTTCCTCCAAAATTGAGGAAGTCCCCCCCCCCCAACACCTCTAAACTCAAAGCTTCCTCCTCCTCCTCAAAAAACTCTTCTGGTAATACCTCATCTCCCCCGAAAAAAGGCAAAGCCAAATCGGCCAAGAAGGCCAAACCCCATAAATAACCATGTCCCTTCCTACTATGGCAGCGTGGAATGTTAGAGGGTTTAACAACCCTGTTAAAGTTAAGTTGTGCAAAGATCTTATTGCTGCCTATGATCTTAAGTTTTTTTGTATTTTAGAAGCTAAAATCAACAATCCTGCTGCTGGAGACCCATGGTTTGCTTTTTCTCATGCTCTCTTTGAGAATGAAGCTAGCTGTGATAATTTTTCCTTCTCTACTCCTGGTGGAATTTGGGTTAAATGTGACCCTTCCTTTTTGTCCTTTTCTCCCACCTTTTTCTCTTCTCAAGTCATTTATGGCATTGTTAATGCTGGTTCTTCTCCCTCCTTTTACCTCTCCGTGGTGTATGCTGCTAATAGCTTGGATGATAGGAAAGCTCTTTGGGGGGATCTTCTTGATCTCTCAGCCAGTATTGATTCTCCCTGGGTTATCATGGGGGATTTTAATTATTTCAGATTTGATTGCAAAAAAGATGGTGGCAATCCGATGACACCATAGAGGGTGGGAGAACTTAACAATTTTGTTTTTTAATCTGGAACTCAAGATCTTGCTTCTGTTGGCTTGTATTACACTTGGTATAATCAAAGGGTGGAGTCTCCTATACATATTAAGCTTGACAGGATGTTGGTGAACCCGATTTTTTTGGATGTTTTTTCGGCCTCTTACTATAAAGTGGATTCGTACTCAGGCTCTGACCATGCTCCTATAATCCTTCATACTTCCCATTTCAAGAAAATGGCCTCTAGGTTTATGTTTAAAGAGTTTTGGACTAAGCTTGATGATTTTTGGGTTGAGACCCAATTGGCTTTTGAGAGACCGATTTCTGCTACCCCCATTGCTACCTTTTATGATGGTTTAAGACACCTTAAAAAGGTTATTCGTAATAAGGATTGGTGTTCTTCTAATTTCATTTCTAAGAATATCCTTGAATTGAAGTCCAATTAAGCCAAATGCATAGCTGATATTCAATTGGACCCTTTAAACATGGTTCTGAATTCTGCCCTAAAGAACATCAATGACCAACTTGCTTACTTTCAATCGGCTTGGTTCTCTTGGGTCTCTCAACGGGCCAAGGCCTATTGGCTCTCCCATGGGGAAGATAATCTTGGCTTCCTTTATGCTAAGATTAGATCGAGGAAGAACAGAAATGTGATTAAAGAATTGGATTCTCCTACTGGTTTGCTTTCGTCTCATGCTAGCATGGCTAATGCTCTCATTGCACATTTTAAGTCACTTTACAATGCTCCTATTCCACCTTTAGCATGCTCTTCTGATTTACCCGTGGGTAATACTATTCCCC